ATTTTGCAGGTAACGAAAAAAGTTTATTACGCTCTCACTGAGCAATAGGGAAAAATCAACAGGAACAAAAAAAAAATAGAGGAAGTCCCAAATCACAGTCCACAGGACCAGGAAAGAGCCTCTCAGCAGGGACCGGTCCTAGCCTCATCCGTGACGCAGCATCAAAGTTGCACTGACCACAGCGTCGCTCGTGACGCAGCGTTGAGGACTCACTGAGCTCCCCGATGAGAGCATTGAGCGTGCAGAGAGGGGCTAGGGCGATGTCTCAGAATCTCGACAGAGCTAGAGATAGCCAAGGCAGGTAGCAGAACCGATATTGACTGGCAGGATGAGAAGGAGAAGTTCAAAAACAAAAACAAAACAGCACTCAGGGCTGAAAAAACACAACGCGGCAAGACAAAGCAAACATGACAAGAAGGTCACGAGCGAAGCGTTGCACAACATACAACAACAGTCTGAGAAAAGACTGAGCACGAGAGGATCTAAAATAGGGAAGGGCTAATGAGGAATGAATGGCAACAGGTGTGACAGAAAACACAAAAGAGAATTAAGGATAACGAGTGGGAGGGGAAAACGCCACACAGACAGCGGAGCACATGGTGAGCTGTCAAAACAAAACCCATGTGCTCAGAGACCAAGCACACAGACACAGAAATGCAACAAACTACGAGGGAGGAGCCAGCACTTTCTGCTTAACAACTCAGCAGACAGAACCATAATACCTCCAGCAACCACAGAGAGGAGGGGGTCCCTCCCAAGCATCCCTGCAGCAGTGCATGATGTGACCCCTAGAGAACTTGACAAGCTAACCAGAAACATCCCAGCATTCACATAGTATGGTGAAGAATGGAACGTTTTAAACATGCTTGCAAGCAGACCCAGTAATCAATCTTATGTGTCTGTCTCATAAGTTTAGTAACTTCTTATACATGCGCATACCAGTTTACTTTATTCTACCTCTCTTTGATTTTATTGCATTTATTTACATTTGTTTAGCATGAATGTGCCAAGTCAGCTAAATTGATTTTTATTAAATCTGAGATTTAATTAAATCAATTTGTTTATTTACTTTTCCTTTTAGTTTCCTACAGCTATTAGGACCTTTTCGTTTTACTTTACCTTATTTTAGTTTATTTGACCATCATCATCCTCCCTCTTTGTATAGGATTGCAGTAGTTTTTCATACTGATGTTTCCTTAATGAGTTATACAGGTTATTAGTAGCCTAATCCATGTTTCCTCTCTACTCCTCCTCACTCCTCAGTGCCAGGCCTAGTACATTGAAGTGCAGTTACTGTTCAACACAATGTAGGCCCAGATAGAACTAGGAACACTTCCCATTGTTTCTTTTTCTTTTTCTTTTTGACTTCGAGGTATTTGGTGTGTCCCTGCTAGCTTAGCTAACAGTCTAACCCTAGGTTTCTGAGTCTATTGCAGCATCACCCACAAGTGACACCTGCTTAACCATATCTCCTAAAAAAAAAACTAAACAGGTAAAATCTTCCTTCTTCCTTTTCTTTTTGATTTTATCGTATTTTATTTCAGTTTTGTCATAGTGACCAAACCCGTGAACCATCAGTGCTTTGAGTAATAGTTTGACCACA